GTTTGTCACCTCCTGCGACACGTGCCAGCGGATGAAGAGTAGCAAGCAGAAGAAAGCAGGGTTACTTCAGCCTCTACCCGTACCGGAGCAGCCATGGCAGGTCGTTAGTCTCGACTTCATCACAGGACTTCCCTCGACCTCACGGGGACACGATTCCATCCTCGTAGTCATCGATAAGTTCTCCAAAATGGGTCACTTCATCCCGACCAATGCCACAGCTACAGCTGAAGCAACTGCTCGACTCTTCTTCGACCGCATCATCACCATCCACGGCATCCCCGCTACACTCATCTCAGACAGAGACCCAAAATTCGCTTACAGTTACCGACCTTAGAGTTCGCTTACAACAACGCCTCGCATGCGGCCACAGGGAAAACCCCTTTCTTCCTGTGTTTCGGACGAGAACCACTTACACCACAGCAGCCAACCACATCGGCACACGTCCAAGCCGCACACGACTTCGTCACCACCATGCAGCAGCTATGGGAGAAGACTCAGCGGCGTCTCACTACGATGCAGAACTCCCAGAAGCAGTATGCCGATCGTCAGCGACGGGATCACTCAGTAGCAGTCGGAGATCAGGTGCTTCTTGACACGCGCAACTTGAACCTGTCTCACCTTCCATCCAAACTCCGGCCTCGCTTCTGTGGTCCATTTTTCGTGGAGGCACAGGTGACACCAGTTACATTCCGCTTGCGCTTACCTACTACGTGGAAGCTTCACAATGCTTTCCATGTTCAGCTACTGAAACCCTACAAGGACCCCAACCAACAGTTCCAGGGACGGCAGCTACCGCCACCACCACCTGTTCTTGTGCAGGATGAACCAGAGTACGAGATCGAGCGCGTTCTCACTCATCGACGCCGCGGCGGCAAGACCCTCGAGTTCCTAATACGCTGGAAGGGATACGACCCCACTGAGGACAATTGGGTTGCAGAAGCTGATATGGGCAACGCACGCCGTGCTCTCAAGGACTATCTTGTCAAGCAGGGTGTATCTTACGCCACCCAGCTTTGAGGGGGGGACGTGTGAGAGTACGATGGCTTATGCTTGTTATTCATGCTTGCTATTATTTCCTTACGCTATTCCTAGCTTAGGTTTATTTTCTGCATGCATGAATTGCTTGATTTCCTAGGTTCGTTGCTTTACTATAGTTATTATAGTTGTAGGCACCGAACCAGGTTACGTGTACCGAACTCAAGCTATTCGGTTGCCACCGAATGGCTTTCTACCAAGTTCAAGAAGGTTCTGTTCGGGATGCTTCGCGACCCTCGAAACATTCGCGTAACACCTGGGTTACCTGCCTTGTGTCAAGCCTATATATAGCCTCGTGTTGTACCCAGATGATCATTTCAATTCACAATCTACTTTTCTGAGCTCGATCCTAGATCCTCACACTTCGGCGCGTGGTGATCGTCGTCACTGTAACCGAAGATTTTGGGTGGCTTCACGTGGAGAACGACAGCTGGCGGAGCAGGCCAGGCGCATGGTGATTTGCGTCAGAAAATGCAACGGCGCGGAGAGACGGCGTGTCGACTGCCCGACGAATGCGGGGGTCTACCGTCGTCCAGCCCGGGTGTGGCCGGTGTGGCTACAGGAGGGTGCGTCGTTGGCGTTTTCGGCAGGAGCGGCACAGTGTGGGACAGAAGTTGTTTTCTAAGCCACCGAAAAGATCGGAGAAAGTCGCCTACGACTAGACTGTCCATCGCTAGGGTCACTGCTATACCTGCAACAAGATCGGCAACATTTTTGGAGCAATAGCAACGGCCGACACTGTACTTCAGGCAGCACAGTACCCCCTGATCAAGGGTAGTTGCACCGCAGACAGGGCAGTACACCAGTGGGACAACATTTCGACGCAGTGTTTAGACCCGCGATTTTTGGGGGTTTCACAGGCTACAATACATGGAGTTGCGTCGAGTTCGGCTTAGCGAGGGAAAATGGGTTTCGAGCTTCAGGAGGCGAGAATTATGACCCACGGCGAAACTCCCAAGCTTATGCCTAAACGTTTGCGGCTAAGCGGCGGTAGCCGGATGGGTACCACTACCGGCCGAGGTTTCCGAACGTTTCACATACCTCACGCCCAGAAGGCCTCGAAGGCAAAGCGTAAGTCCTATTGGCCACTGGATCCAAAGGTGGGGCCCTGTGTTTAGCCCTGTGCTGGCTAAAAGGCGCGGGTATTGCGCCAGTTTGATAGCTGGGCGTACAAGAAATTTTCAAGGTTGCGACACTGTTCGGCCCCAACAAAACCGGACCATCGGTAGCAGTTACCCCGCCGGAAAAGTCGGAGCTGAAGCAACGAAGCGGCCGGTCCAACTGTTTGATCCGATAAACATGACCCAACTACGATAGCGTTCGCGCCTTCACCGAATGTCAGAAAAATCGCGGGCAACACGGAGCAATACCTCATCCGACAAAAGCGGACGCTGGGTGAACGGCGGCAAGCGAAATTGTCGGGGGGTGAAGACAAAAAACAAATGGAGGGAAATTTGTGGGTGCTCCAGCAGATCTCCAGAGTGAAAGGTTGAGCCCGTACACCAATCCACCGCGAATTTCGGAGTCTATTCGGTAGACCCCCGAAAGGGTTTGATATTGTTACATGGAGGCGCGGCGAGCGGTGTATCGCCAAGGATACCTGGGATTCGCTAAGTAATTTCGACGGGTGAGAAGACGAGTGAACGTCGGAGTACCAGAGAGAACGGCGGAAACGTCGGGGTTACGCGGCGGAAAATACTTCGGGACTGCTTCAACAACCATGATTTTCGGGTTTCTTTCCTACGGTGGGAGACGGGTGAACGTCTGCTCGCCAGCTGTTTCAGCGGTTTACGGTGTACTTTGAAGCCATTTAGGGAAATTCTTCGACGAGATCTGCGGCGTTGATGCGGGCTAGGTTCCGTGAAATTCGGTCCCGATAGACCCATGACTCTGGGTTCCACACGAAAGAGCACCTCCTGTTGGTGGGTTGCTAGTGTGGTTAACCACAGAGAGAAAAATGGCGACGGGTGGGCACGCTAGATACACCGGTTCTTTGAGGGGATAACCTGCAGGTGACCAAGACGTACAAGAATTTTCGGCACCGACATTTACGGAGAGTACCGAGTCTCGGTTTTACAAGAGTCGGCGATGACGGCCGACAATTTTGTAAAAACGGCGGAGTTGCAGCGGCGCTGGGATAAGCGCGCGAAAACTGCCGTGGTGAACTTCTTGGCGGCAAACTCCGTGGAGTTTCAGGGGTACCAGCCGCAACACAGGTGAAAATTATCGCAGCAGGTGGGGGAGAAAGGACAACCTTTTTTTGCCTCTGCCTTGACTTTCTCAGCGAGAACGACAACGTCGTCGGGGTAGCTGACGTCATCGACAGTGCAAGTCCGACTTTGAAAAAATACCGCAGGCGGTCAGGGGGAAGTGCAACAGCTGTTTTCGCCCCATGCCCGGGATGTTTCGGAGAAAGGAGACAAAACACTCGGCGAGTCAGGACAAGACCGCCGGAGGTGCTGACAGCTGGAGCAGTCACATCGAGGAGTTTGCCACAGCAACACGACAACAAGACAGCAGCAATTTCGGAGGTTGAAGATGTTGGCAACCGAAGCTTCTGCAGCAGCAGGGTGATTCGATGCTGCCACGCGGAGGTTTTGGGGTGGTAGTCACGAGAGATGCTGCAGCAGCAGTCGCGACTACAAGACAAAATAGACAGTCCACTTATTAGTTTCATTCGGAGTTCTCGAGTCCAAGCGCCCAACGATTTTACCTGCTCAACGGACTTCGAAGCAGTTTACCCTGGGCATTTTTCGGGGTTTCCGACTGAAGATTTCGCCACCGACAGCAATTTCGACTGCACAGCGGCTGAATTTCATGTGGGAGGTCATAACACTTGGTATTCTGTTCTACCCTCGGCATCAGGGTGGTTGTGGTTTTGTGCCCATGCAGCTGTGTAGATTCTGGTGGGCAATCATTTTCAAAGGGGGGGGGGGGGGGGGGGGGGGGGGGGGGGGGGGAGGGGGAGAGTGCTGTCGCACTGTATTCCCTTAGCAGTCTCTGACATTTTTGTCAGACTGGAGCAGCACGAGGGACGTCCGGGATCAATTTCAGCAACATCGACGGTTTCTGCTCATCGCCCTCTGACATCGTGTCAGACTTCCCGCCGACATTACGTTCATCTGTACCGTCCGATAGACATCCGCGACATCGACGATTTTCCTTCGTCGACAAATTTTCAACTCGACACTCGCTTTCAACCGCCCGATCGACATCGGCAGTATCAACGGCTGACATTCCAACTCTCTGAACTTTGCCTAGTCAACGCGCTCAGCCACGCGTCAACTCGAAAGTCAACATGCGTCCGCGCCGTCAGATCAGTTTCGACCGAGATCTGCAGTTTTCACGCTACTGCAAGACTCGCCTACGTATAAGGCACCTTCTTTAGAAGGTGGGAGAGTGTAATGAATGTGAATTCATTACTGTAGAGGCTGCTCCTAGCGAGGACAGCCCGAACTGTTCGCGTCAGTTTGGGCTCGGCCTACACTTTCGTACCGAACCAGCGCCGAGTCGCCCCGCACCAATCGCGACATTCCCGAGCCACGCACATCGAGGTCCTCGAACAGCACGGTTTCGTCCCTATAGATGCATGCTTCTTCACCATTCTCGTCATTCTGCATTCGACATCCTTTTTATAAAGTCTTCCGCGCACTTTTCTTAGTACAACTCATAACATCAGCAGCATGTATGGGTTTATGCAGGTTAAAATGTAGGAGCTCATGTAAACCTCAAAAGGGGAGTCATGAGAATATAGTCAATCTACTTAGGTTTATATGGATTCATATTTACAGATGCTTGGGTGCCTCGTATAATATGAGGTACACCAGTACTCACACAACGCACACCAATACTTTTGCACGCGTTCTCATGCACATGGCAGCCACAGAAGGCTGGTAATGAAGCTTTCTCACCATGTCACCTTGCCCTCTGCACTCCCCGTCTCTTCTGCCTCCGAACCAGCCTTTTCACCCGCTTGTCCCTGAGACCCCATCACCCACCACTCCCTCCTCACGCTCAACCTCACTGCTCCGTCGCCCGCCCTCCCCACCGCCCTTGTCGCCCGGCCCCTCCACGCCCTCAGCGATCGACGCCACACTGGGTTTCCTCGCGGGGCGTCTCAGCCGGCCCTGCTCGTCGCGGAACCCGCCTCCCTGCGGCCGGGGCATGCCGCCGGAGATCACAAACGGCGTCATCGGCGCGCCGTCCTCGGGCGACTCCGGCGCTCCGCCGCCCATGCCGCCCATGCCGCCCGCTGCATCTCCTCCGATCTGCAGTGACGGTTTGAACGGCCGGCGCGGTCCTGCCGTCCCGGCGGCAGGCGCAGCAGCAGGTGCGTTGAGGGTGGAGGAGGCGCCTCCCACGGGAGCAATGACGACGGTGGCGGGGAAGGATTTTGGCACCCGGGGCAGGTACTGCTGTGGGCGCTGCCGGTGCCGTGGCAGTGGGCGGCGAGGCAGGGGAGATGCGTGGCACGCGGAGCACGGAGGGGTGGGAGATGGAGAGGGCGGGGCGCGGGGCGGCACGGATGTCGGCGAGCAGCGCGTCCAGCTCCACCCCGCGCACCCTCAGCGCATTCAGCCGCGATGTGTCCTCCCTGTGGACAGGCGGGGGGGAAGGGCGGAAGAGGGCAGTGAGCGAGGCAGCGCAGAGTGTGTGAGCAGTGAGGGTGAGATGGCTTGCAGGACCCTGGCAGCCTGGCAGGTGTGACGCCATTGCTGCCACGGCCGGGTTGTGCGGGGTGTGCGGGGTGTGAGGGGTGTGAGGGCATGGCGGCGAGAAGTATACTTGCTGAGAGGAGGTGGGGCGGGCCAAATGGCGAGATACGGGGAGGAGCAGGAGGGACCTTGGAGCAATGAAGAAGGCCGGAATGCATGACGAGCAACTGTCATGCTGAGAGCAATGCAAGCCACGTGGATGGTGAAGAGTACCAAGGGATAACCCCGTGGAAGCAGAGACTCAACCAACAGATAGAGCTCTGGGGTGTTGAAAGGCAAGGCTTTGGCATGCTCAGATGCGAAGCGAGTGCGAGAGGCATTGCAGGTGCGGGGGGTGGGGTGTGGTGGGGGATGGCGTACGGGGAGGGCGAGGCGAGCGAGTCCATCCACGCGCGCACGTCCTTGAGCGCCAGCTCCGCCTCCCCCATGCACCGCTTCACCTGCTCATGGCACGGGCAAGAGGGGGGTGTGGGGGCACACGGATGAGTGGCAATGGGATCATGGCAGGCCGCCGCACAGCAATGGAGGCCTCGGGGAAGTGGAGGCTCTCCCACAGAAGAGAAGAGAAGGGCGATAGTTACAGGCTGAGAGGCACGGCACGGCATGAGTGAATGGTGATCCGAGGTGCATGCCCGCTACGCCAGTGCCGCCAAGCCCATGCCCATGCCCATGCCCATGCTCATGCCCATGCCCATGCCCATGCCCATGCTCATGCCCATGCCCATGCCCATGCCCATGCCCCCATGCCCCCATGCCCCCATGCCCATGCCTATGCCCACGGCCGTGTATGGCAGTGGCAGCAGGGCAGGGCAGGGCGCACGGACCTGGATGTCAGCAGCGATGAAGCGCTCCTCCCAGTGCAGGCGGCGCAGCGAGATGTCCGCCACCACGGCGTCCATGCCGTCTGATACCATGCTCGCCCTGCCATGCCATGTGGGGCCACTCCCCCCACACCCACGTACCCCCAGGCAAGGTCAAGTCGGGAGAGGAAAGCTCAGATGCATCTGTGCATTTTCACGCACAACTCTCTCGCGCCATTCTCACGCACAACTCTCACGCGCCATACTCACGCACAACTCTCACGCGCCATTCTCACGCACAACTCTCACGCGCCATTCTCACGCACAACTCTCACGCGCCATTCTCACGCACAACTCTCATGCGCCATTCTCACGCACAGCTCTCACGCGCCATTCTCACGCACAACTCTCACGCGCCATTCTCACGCACAACTCTCATGCGCCATTCTCACGCACAACTCTCACGCGCCATTCTCACGCACAACTCTCACGCGCCATTCTCACGCACAACTCTCACGCGCCATTCTCACGCACAACTCTCACGCGCCATTCTCACGCACAACTCTCACGCGCCATTCTCACGCACAACTCTCACGCGCCAGTCTCACGCACAACTCTCACGCACCATTCTCACGCACAACTCTCTCTCGCCATTCTCACGCACAACTCTCTCTCGCCATTCTCACGCACAACTCTCTCTCGCCATTCTCACGCACAACTCTCTCTCGCCATTCTCACGCACAACTCTCTCTCGCCATTCTCACGCACAACTCTCTCTCGCCATTCTCACGCACAACTCTCTCTCTCCATTCTCACGCAAAACTCTCTCTCGCCATTCTCACGCACAACTCTCTCTCGCCATTCTCACGCACATCTCTCTCTCGCCATTCTCACGCACAACTCTCTCTCGCCATTCTCACGCACAACTCTCTCTCGCCATTCTCACGCACAACTCTCTCTCGCCATTCTCACGCACAACTCTCTCTCGCCGTTCTCATGCACAACTCTCTCTCGCCGTTCTCACGCACAACTCTAACGCGCCATTCTCACGCACAACTCTCTCTCGCCATTCTCACGCACAACTCTCTCTCGCCATTCTCACGCACAACTCTCTCTCGCCATTCTCACGCACAACTCTCTCTCGCCATTCTCACGCACAACTCTCTCTCGCCATTCTCACGCACAACTCTCTCTCGCCATTCTCACGCACAACTCTCTCTCGCCATTCTCACGCACAACTCTCTCTCGCCATTCTCACGCACAACTCTCTCTCGCCATTCTCACGCACAACTCTCACGCGCCATTCTCACGCACAACTCTCTCTCGCCATTCTCACGCACAACTCTCTCTCGCCATTCTCACGCAAAACTCTCTCTCGCCATTCTCACGCACAACTCTCTCTCGCCGTTCTCATGCACAACTCTCTCTCGCCGTTCTCACGCACAACTCTAACGCGCTATTCTCACGCACAACTCTCTCTCGCCATTCTCACGCACAACTCTCTCTCGCCATTCTCACGCACAACTCTCTCTCGCCATTCTCACGCACAACTCTCTCTCGCCATTCTCACGCAAAACTCTCTCTCGCCATTCTCACGCACAACTCTCTCTCGCCATTCTCACGCACATCTCTCTCTCGCCATTCTCACGCACAACTCTCTCTCGCCATTCTCACGCACAACTCTCTCTCGCCATTCTCACGCACAACTCTCTCTCGCCATTCTCACGCACAACTCTCTCTCGCCGTTCTCATGCACAACTCTCTCTCGCCGTTCTCACGCACAACTCTAACGCGCCATTCTCACGCACAACTCTCTCTCGCCATTCTCACGCACAACTCTCTCTCGCCATTCTCACGCACAACTCTCTCTCGCCATTCTCACGCACAACTCTCTCTCGCCATTCTCACGCACAACTCTCTCTCGCCATTCTCACGCACAACTCTCTCTCGCCATTCTCACGCACAACTCTCTCTCGCCATTCTCACGCAAAACTCTCTCTCGCCATTCTCACGCACAACTCTCTCTCGCCGTTCTCATGCACAACTCTCTCTCGCCGTTCTCACGCACAACTCTAACGCGCCATTCTCACGCACAACTCTCTCTCGCCATTCTCACGCACAACTCTCTCTCGCCATTCTCACGCACAACTCTCTCTCGCCATTCTCACGCACAACTCTCTCTCGCCATTCTCACACACAACTCTCACGCGCCATTCTCACGCACAACTCTCTCTCGCCATTCTCACGCACAACTCTCTCTCGCCATTCTCACGCAAAACTCTCTCTCGCCATTCTCACGCACAACTCTCTCTCGCCGTTCTCATGCACAACTCTCTCTCGCCGTTCTCACGCACAACTCTAACGCGCCATTCTCACGCACAACTCTCTCTCGCCATTCTCACGCACAACTCTCTCTCGCCATTCTCACGCACAACTCTCTCTCGCCATTCTCACGCACAACTTTCTCTCGCCATTCTCACGCACATCTCTCTCTCGCCATTCTCACGCACAACTCTCTCTCGCCATTCTCACGCACAACTCTCTCTCGCCATTCTCACGCACAACTCTCTCTCGCCATTCTCACGCACAACTCTCTCTCGCCGTTCTCATGCACAACTCTCTCTCGCCGTTCTCACGCACAACTCTAACGCGCCATTCTCACGCACAACTCTCTCTCGCCATTCTCACGCACAACTCTCTCTCGCCATTCTCACGCACAACTCTCTCTCGCCATTCTCACGCACAACTCTCTCTCGCCATTCTCACGCACAACTCTCTCTCGCCATTCTCACGCACAACTCTCTCTCGCCATTCTCACGCAAAACTCTCTCTCGCCATTCTCACGCACAACTCTCTCTCGCCATTCTCACGCACATCTCTCTCTCGCCATTCTCACGCACAACTCTCTCTCGCCATTCTCACGCACAACTCTCTCTCGCCATTCTCACGCACAACTCTCTCTCGCCAATCTCACGCACAACTCTCTCTCGCCGTTCTCATGCACAACTCTCTCTCGCCGTTCTCACGCACAACTCTAACGCGCCATTCTCACGCACAACTCTCTCTCGCCATTCTCACGCACAACTCTCTCTCGCCATTCTCACGCACAACTCTCTCTCGCCATTCTCACGCACAACTCTCTCTCGCCATTCTCACGCAAAACACTCTCTCGCCATTCTCACGCACAACTCTCTCTCGCCGTTCTCATGCACAACTCTCTCTCGCCGTTCTCACGCACAACTCTAACGCGCCATTCTCACGCACAACTCTCTCTCGCCATTCTCACGCACAACTCTCTCTCGCCATTCTCACGCAAAACTCTCTCTCGCCATTCTCACGCACAACTCTCTCTCGCCGTTCTCATGCACAACTCTCTCTCGCCGTTCTCACGCACAACTCTAACGCGCCATTCTCACGCACAACTCTCTCTCGCCATTCTCACGCACAACTCTCTCTCGCCATTCTCACGCACAACTCTCTCTCGCCATTCTCACGCACAACTCTCTCTCGCCATTCTCACGCACAACTCTCACGCGCCATTCTCACGCACAACTCTCTCTCGCCATTCTCACGCACAACTCTCTCTCGCCATTCTCACGCAAAACTCTCTCTCGCCATTCTCACGCACAACTCTCTCTCGCCGTTCTCATGCACAACTCTCTCTCGCCGTTCTCACGCACAACTCTAACGCGCCATTCTCACGCACAACTCTCTCTCGCCATTCTCACGCACAACTCTCTCTCGCCATTCTCACGCACAACTCTCTCTCGCCATTCTCACGCACAACTCTCTCTCGCCATTCTCACGCACATCTCTCTCTCGCCATTCTCACGCACAACTCTCTCTCGCCATTCTCACGCACAACTCTCTCTCGCCATTCTCACGCACAACTCTCTCTCGCCATTCTCACGCACAACTCTCTCTCGCCGTTCTCATGCACAACTCTCTCTCGCCGTTCTCACGCACCACTCTAACGCGCCATTCTCACGCACAACTCTCTCTCGCCATTCTCACGCACAACTCTCTCTCGCCATTCTCACGCACAACTCTCTCTCGCCATTCTCACGCACAACTCTCTCTCGCCATTCTCACGCACAACTCTCTCTCGCCATTCTCACGCAAAACTCTCTCTCGCCATTCTCACGCACAACTCTCTCTCGCCATTCTCACGCACATCTCTCTCTCGCCATTCTCACGCACAACTCTCTCTCGCCATTCTCACGCACAACTCTCTCTCGCCATTCTCACGCACAACTCTCTCTCGCCAATCTCACGCACAACTCTCTCTCGCCGTTCTCATGCACAACTCTCTCTCGCCGTTCTCACGCACAACTCTAACGCGCCATTCTCACGCACAACTCTCTCTCGCCATTCTCACGCACAACTCTCTCTCGCCATTCTCACGCACAACTCTCTCTCGCCATTCTCACGCACAACTCTCTCTCGCCATTCTCACGCACAACTCTCTCTCGCCATTCTCACGCACAACTCTCTCTCGCCATTCTCACGCACAACTCTCTCTCGCCATTCTCACGCAAAACTCTCTCTCGCCATTCTCACGCACAACTCTCTCTCGCCGTTCTCATGCACAACTCTCTCTCGCCGTTCTCACGCACAACTCTAACGCGCCATTCTCACGCACAACTCTCTCTCGCCATTCTCACGCACAACTCTCTCTCGCCATTCTCACGCAAAACTCTCTCTCGCCATTCTCACGCACAACTCTCTCTCGCCGTTCTCATGCACAACTCTCTCTCGCCGTTCTCACGCACAACTCTAACGCGCCATTCTCACGCACAACTCTCTCTCGCCATTCTCACGCACAACTCTCTCTCGCCATTCTCACGCACAACTCTCTCTCGCCATTCTCACGCACAACTCTCTCTCGCCATTCTCACGCACAACTCTCACGCGCCATTCTCACGCACAACTCTCTCTCGCCATTCTCACGCACAACTCTCTCTCGCCATTCTCACGCAAAACTCTCTCTCGCCATTCTCACGCACAACTCTCTCTCGCCGTTCTCATGCACAACTCTCTCTCGCCGTTCTCACGCACAACTCTAACGCGCCATTCTCACGCACAACTCTCTCTCGCCATTCTCACGCACAACTCTCTCTCGCCATTCTCACGCACAACTCTCTCTCGCCATTCTCACGCACAACTCTCTCTCGCCATTCTCACGCAAAACTCTCTCTCGCCATTCTCACGCACAACTCTCTCTCGCCATTCTCACGCACATCTCTCTCTCGCCATTCTCACGCACAACTCTCTCTCGCCATTCTCACGCACAACTCTCTCTCGCCATTCTCACGCACAACTCTCTCTCGCCAATCTCACGCACAACTCTCTCTCGCCGTTCTCATGCACAACTCTCTCTCGCCGTTCTCACGCACAACTCTAACGCGCCATTCTCACGCACAACTCTCTCTCGCCATTCTCACGCACAACTCTCTCTCGCCATTCTCACGCACAACTCTCTCTCGCCATTCTCACGCACAACTCTCTCTCGCCATTCTCACGCACAACTCTCTCTCGCCATTCTCACGCACAACTCTCTCTCGCCATTCTCACGCACAACTCTCTCTCGCCATTCTCACGCAAAACTCTCTCTCGCCATTCTCACGCACAACTCTCTCTCGCCGTTCTCATGCACAACTCTCTCTCGCCGTTCTCACGCACAACTCTAACGCGCCATTCTCACGCACAACTCTCTCTCGCCATTCTCACGCACAACTCTCTCTCGCCATTCTCACGCACAACTCTCTCTCGCCATTCTCACGCACAACTCTCTCTCGCCGTTCTCACGCACAACTCTAACGCGCCATTCTCACGCACAACTCTCTCTCGCCATTCTCACGCACAACTCTCTCTCGCCATTCTCACGCACAACTCTCTCTCGCCATTCTCACGCACAACTCTCTCTCGCCATTCTCACGCACAACTCTCTCTCGCCATTCTCACGCACAACTCTCTCTCGCCATTCTCACGCACAACTCTCTCGCGCCATTCTCACGCACAACTCTCTCTCGCCATTCTCACGCACAACTCTCTCTCGCCATTCTCACGCACAACTCTCTCGCGCCATTCTCACGCACAACTCTCTCTCGCCATTCTCACGCACAACTCTCTCTCGCCATTCTCACGCACAACTCTCTCTCGCCATTCTCACGCACAACTCTCTCTCGCCATTCTCACGCACAACTCTCTCGCGCCATTCTCACGCACAACTCTCTCTCGCCATTCTCACGCACAACTCTCTCTCGCCATTCTCACGCACAACTCTCTCGCGCCATTCTCACGCACAACTCTCTCTCGCCATTCTCACGCACAACTCTCTCTCGCCATTCTCACGCACAACTCTCTCTCGCCATTCTCACGCACAACTCTCTCTCGCCATTCTCACGCACAACTCTCTCTCGCCATTCTCACGCACAACTCTCTCTCGCCAAGCACCACCAGCACCTCACATGACGGGTTGTTTTCACCCCACTCGTATTGACTGCGTGTTCCAGGCGTTTCAACACTTGTTGTCGGCTGGCCCTGAACGGTGCGTTGCCAGTGAGTGTGCTTCAGGACGGGTCGGACACAGTTTAAGCCTCTGCTAGTCATGGACTATTGTGCACCACTCCATACAAGCTGCTTCCTTTCGCACGCAACCCTGCGGCCTCTGCCCAGGCTGGCCTCGGTTGTGACAGGCTGGCCCTGTCAGTGATGGCAGCGGCGGGAGCAGAGACAGCATTGAGCATGGCGCTCACCTCTTGTTGTGAATGGCCTCGAGAGTGCCCACCACTGCCTTGGCCCTGGCCCAGAACGACTCCAGCTGCGCCTGCATGCAGCACACACATGGGGGTGGGCACACATGGGGGCGGGCACACATGGGGGCGGGCACACATGGGGGCGGGCACACATGGGGGCGGGCACACATGGGGGCGGGCACACATGGGGGCGGGCACACATGGGGGCGGGCACACATGGGGGCGGGCACACATGGGGGCGGGCACACATGGGGGCGGACACACATGGGGGCGGGCACACATGGGGGCGGGCACACATGGGGGCGGGCATGACTGGCTTGAAAAGGGCCACAAACGGAACGAGCGAGTGGGGTTGGAAAGCAAGACGAGGTGATGCGGTGTGGGAAGGCACGGATGCAAGTTGAGAAGAAAGCATGCACTCCCTGCCACTCATGTGTGCACACATGTGTTATCACCCACCCATCCATGCATCACACACAGCTGCCCAACTGAGCAGCAACCCACCTGACAGCCGGCCACCTGACAGCCGCACACCTGACAGCCGCCCACCTGGCAGAGGTGCAGATGCGATGTGGCAGCGGCAAAGAGCCGGTCCCTGCGAGCTGCTGCCTCCTCCCTGTGGTGGGCAATCATTCATGGCGGCGGAGAGAGAGAGCGCAGGAGCAATGAACGTGGGGAGTGACATGTGGCATGCATGTGGCCAAGGCACTTGGCAACGTGGAGCACTCAAAACAGTTCCCCCATCACCCTTGCTTGACACTCCCCCCTGCACCCATCCTGCCAGCAGGCGACGCACTTGAGGCGCTTCTCCTCGGCCTCGAGAGCAGCGGACTGCAGCTGCCACGTGCGCTGCAGGAACTTCCTCCACTCCTCCAGCGCCCTCCCATCGCCCTCATGCTCCTCCATCGATGCCTTCAGCCGCGCTTCCTGCCATGCCATGCCATGCCATGCCATGCCACGCCATGCCATGCCATGCCATGCCATGCCATGCCATGCCATGCCATGCCATGCCATGCCATGCCATACCATGCCGACCCACACCCCACCGTGCCACATCGGATGGCGGCACCAAAAAAGATGACGCGGAATGAGAAATGAGCAATGAGCGGGCGAAGGGAGGCGAGCGATGATAGAGGAGACACGAGCAGAGAAAGGTGAGCGACCAAGGATTAAAGGCGACACGGCGGTGCAAGATGGCTGCCACCACGATTTCGTGCTTTACTGCGTTCTCTCTGCAAGAAAGTCGCAATTGTGATACCTGCACTGTGAGGTGGTTACCACGTTACCTGCGCTGCAAGGTGGCTGACGATGCTGGTGCTGGCCATGCTGAACTGCTCCTTCTCCTCGCGCACCTTCCCCTGCTTCCTGCTCAAACTGTCTATTGCACTCTGCACCTGTTGGTGGTGACACGGGGCAACAGCAGCAGCAGATGGTAGCAGTGTTGAGGCGCCAGCAGTGGGGTGCAGAGAGGGATGATAAAGTGGCAGCGGCAGCAGCAGCAGCAGCAGCAGAGGAGGAGCCCTCAGTCCCCTGTCGGTCTGCTCACATGTGAGATGGATGGAATTATATTCCCTGCTTCACCAAGGCACCACTCCGTACCCGTCCGCAGCTGCCCCAAAGTGTGCTATCCTCCACTGCCCCTCACCTTGCTCAGCTCCTCCTCACCTTGCTCAGCTCCTCCTCACCTTGCTCAGCTCCTCCTCACCTTGCTCAGCTCCTCCTCACCTTGCTCAGCTCCTCCTCACCTTGCTCAGCTCCTCCTCACCTTGCTCAGCTCCTCCTCACCTTGCTCAGCTCCTCCTCACCTTGCTCAGCTCCTCCTCACCTTGCTCAGCTCCTCCTCACCTTGCTCAGCTCCTCCTCACCTTGCTCAGCTCCTCCTCACCTTGCTCAGCTCCTCCTCACCTTGCTCAGCTCCTCCTCACCTTGCTCAGCTCCTCCTCACCTTGCTCAGCTCCTCCTCACCTTGCTCAGCTCCTCCTCACCTTGCTCAGCTCCTCCTCACCTTGCTCAGCTCCTCCTCACCTTGCTCAGCTCCTCCTCACCTTGCTCAGCTCCTCCTCACCTTGCTCAGCTCCTCCTCACCTTGCTCAGCTCCTCCTCACCTTGCTCAGCTCCTCCTCACCTTGCTCAGCTCCTCCTCACCTTGCTCAGCTCCTCCTCACCTTGCTCAGCTCCTCCTCACCTTGCTCAGCTCCTCCTCACCTTGCTCAGCTCCTCCTCACCTTGCTCAGCTCCTCCTCCAGCTCTGCCTTCCTGGCCTGCAGAGCAGCCATCTCACGGTCCACCACCTGCCACCACGCACACAGCCGCATACACAGCCGCACAGGGGAGCACACAGGTTGGTGCCACACGTTACATGCACTCGCTCTGCCTTTGGTCCCATGCAGCTTTGTACGGCACAGCACCACACAGCAAGCCCGCGTCGCCCACCGGCAGCGGAACAAGTGGGGGGCTGCGTGGCAAGGCGTGGCAGTGGGCTAAAAGCGAGGCACGGAGGGTGCAAGGCACGGACTGAGAGAGCGGAGAGGAGCGCGGAGAACAGAAGGCATAAGGGCCCGAGAGAAACAGGCTGCTGCTGCTGTGCTCGCAGCATGAAGCATGCAGCTCAGAGAGGAAGGAGGTCACGGAGGGGGGAGGTCACGGAGGGGGGAGGTCACGGAGGGGGGAGGTCACGGAGGGGGGAGGTCACGGAGGGGGGAGGTCACGGAGGGGGGAGGTCACGGAGGGGGGAGGTCACGGAGGGGGGAGGTCACGGAGGGGGGAGGTCACGGAGGGGGGAGGTCACGGAGGGGGGAGGTCACGGAGGGGGGAGGTCACGGAGGGGGGAGGTCACGGAGGGGGGAGGTCACGGAGGGGGGAGGTCACGGAGGGGGGAGGTCACGGAGGGGGGAGGTCACGGAGGGGGGAGGTCACGGAGGGGGGAGGTCACGGAGGGGGGAGGTCACGGAGGGGGGAGGTCACGGAGGGGGGAGGTCACGGAGGGGGGAGGTCACGGAGGGGGGAGGTCACGGAGGGGGGAGGTCACGGAGGGGGGAGGTCACGGAGGGGGGAGGTCACGGAGGGGGGAGGTCACGGAGGGGGGAGGTCACGGAGGGGGGAGGTCACGGAGGGGGGAGGTCACGGAGGGGGGAGGTCACGGAGGGGGGAGGTCACGGAGGGGGGAGGTCACGGAGGGGGGAGGTCACGGAGGGGGGAGGTCACGGAGGGGGGAGGTCACGGAGGGGGGAGGTCACGGAGGGGGGAGGTCACGGAGGGGGGAGGTCACGGAGGGGGGAGGTCACGGAGGGGGGAGGTCACGGAGGGGGGAGGTCACGGAGGGGGGAGGTCACGGAGGGGGGAGGTCACGGAGGGGGGAGGTCACGGAGGGGGGAGGTCACGGAGGGGGAGGTCACGGAGGGGGGAGGTCACGGAGGGGGGAGGTCACGGAGGGGGGAGGTCACGGAGGGGGGAGGTCACGGAGGGGGGAGGTCACGGAGGGGGGAGGTCACGGAGGGGGGAGGTCACGGAGGGGGGAGGTCACGGAGGGGGGAGGTCACGGAGGGGGGAGGTCACGGAGGGGGGAGGTCACGGGGGGGGGAGCCCTTATGGAGAGAGGAGAGTAACGGAGCTTGCAGATGAGAGGAGGGGGCCCTCACGGAGTGGGAGTCAGCAGCCTCCTGTGCCTTGGCGGTGCGGTAGGCGAGGGCGTCCGCCTTCTGCTGGGTGCACTCCGCCATCTGCTTCCTCAGCGCCTCCACCCCCTCGCCCAGCTCCGCTGCCAGCGATGTCACGCGCTCCACCTGCCATGCCCGCCCACGGGGCCCGTGACATCAGTGGGGGGGGAAGAGGAGGGCGTTTGAGAGCTGTGCCATGCCATGCACGCGGGGGAGGGGGGCGGGGGTGTGTGGCGCATGGCATGAGTGGGGGAGGAAGGGAGGGGGGTGTTTGAGGTGCGTCAAGCCATCGGCCGGCCCACATATCTCATCTCTGCACCCTTATCAGCTCACCACAAGGTACCTCATTGCTGCACCCTCAACATCCGCGTGTTCATTTTTGGGTGTCTCTGCACTGCTGCTTCATTTCGCTGCTCATGGGCCTTTCCCAGTCTTCACTTTTTTGCTCGTCCTGCCTTACCGCGCAACCCCTTTTTGGCTCCACTAAATTCCTTTAGAGCATCTTCTAATAGTCTACTTTTGATATCACAGTACATTTATCTAATGACCCCCTAGTGCAGTCGACTTCCCTACCTCACCAAGCAGTTGATAACATGGGCCGATGCACATGGAGATGAAGAGCTGACCTCGTTCACGGCGTGAGAAATGCAGTCCGCCGTGCTCCGTGCGTGCAGTGCAGATGGATCTGCAAGCAGGAACGCCCTTCACAGCGCTGGATCTGCCTGTGAGCAACTTGGGTCCCCCTTCATGGGTTTTGACTCTGTCTTTGATTGCAGCACAACTCTACCCTATCTACCTCAACCCCCACTCACTCCATCAACTCTATTTCCCCTGCCTTCACAGCACGCCCACCTTGAGAGCGCGGTCGCCCGGAGTGTCCCCCTGCTGCAGCAGCGCCTCTCGGCGCCTCTCCAGCGCCACCAGGCGCAGCGCGGCATGCAGCACCTCGCGGCTGCGAGCGGCCTGCACCTCCTGCTGCTGCACCGCCAGCACCTCGTCCACCGCCCTCTCCGCCTCCTCCACTCGCCCCAACGCCGCCTCGCCCTCTGCCCTCTCCGCCCCCCCCGCCCCTCCCTCGCCCTCTGCCTGCTCCGCCCCTTCGCCCCCCACCTCCCCACCCGTGCCTTTCCCCTGCGCGCCACCCTCCTTGCCCTGGTCGCCACCATCCTCCCCGGCCTGCAGCGCGGAGGACGCGTGCACGGCAGCCAGACCCTGCGCCACGGCGTGCTCGAGGCGCCGTGCCTCTTGGTCGAGGCGCTCGGCCTCGGGGCACACCTTGAGCCCCGTCATCGCCTCCGCCACAAACCGCTCCAACTCGTCGCCTGATAGCTGTGAGAGGAGGCGCGCAGGGGCGGGGGAAGAGAGAGGTGGCTTGGTGAAGAAAAAAGGGTTCAGGGTTGGAGAGGCACAGTAGATCATTCTTACACCAAGCTCTATTCGCCTGGTTTCAAGTCCATAGGGTGCTTGAGACAATAGAAGCGGGGAGAGCGCTTTCAACGCAAATCTTGCTGAACAATGCGATTCGGGGGCAGCATACAGGGAAGGGGAGGGGAGGGGAAAGGAGGGGAGCGGGAGGGGAGGGGGGGGGGAGGGGGGGGGGGGAGGAGGGGGAGGGCAGGGGAGGCGGTTACCTTGACCTCAGCATAGGACTCGGCGGAGTTGGCGAGGGAGTGCAGCGTGGCGAGCAGCGCGTCCTGATCCTCGTGGCCCAGTGATAGACACAGCCTGCACGCACAGGAGTGAGTGGGGGGGGAGAGGGGAAATCAACAAACACCTACTAAATCGTACCGAGATGCGAGTCCAGCTCTATTGCAGTCCGTGCATGCCTTTTTATTGTTTGGAATCAACAAAGCACTCCACTAAATCGTACCGAGATGCGAAACACACAATCGCTTCGCTAGTGAATGCACTGAGATTGGAATGCAGAGAAAAGGAGGAGGTAGGGGGACAGAGAAAGGAGGGAGGAAGGGGGGTGGAGGATGGAGGAGGAGGAAGGGTGAGGGAGCGGTGGAGGGCACCTGAAGAGGTTTCTGAGCAGCCAGAACTCCTCGTCATCGCCGGGGTCCATCACCTGCCAGCGATGCATGGTGGCACACATGGGGACAAGGGAAGTCACATGGGGCCAACTTGGCATGGGGGCGCATGGAGGGAGGCAGACATGGCATGCATGGATGGAATGGTGGTACAGACGCACAAGCACTGCATTCAACCACTCACCAGCCTGGCTGTGCAGAAAGACTTGAGTTGACTCGCACTCACCAGCGACGCCACCATGTTCTCCAGCGCCTGGCTGTGCAGAAAGACTTGAGTTGACTCGCACTCACCAGCGACGCCACCATGTTCTCCAGCGCCTGGCTGTGCAGAAAGACGTCGCGGAAGGTGAGTGGCTGGTGGGGCGCGTTGGGGTCGTGGAATAGCACCTGCAGGCCGCGAGGGGAGGCACGGGTGGAAGACAGAGCGGGAAGGCAGGGGGGAGGCGGGGCAGGGGGAAGTTGATGGCACGTTGCATGGATGGATACATGAGGGCAGCTTTGGGTGGTTTGCTGTGCCACTGGTATGCTGTTGCGCTGGGGCTTGCTGTTTCTCCCAGCACAAAGTGCCATGGCATGGCACTCACCCGAGACACCTTGCTGTGCGGGGGTGCACTGGGCGGAGCAGGGAGGCGCCGCGGAGATGCTGAGGGCGGCGCCAAGCCCTCCCTCCCGCCGCTGCCACTCATGCCCTCGCTCTCGCCCGCGCTCTTACCCGCGCCCTCACCACCACCTCCCTCTTCCGCGCCCTCCCCCGCCTGCCCTCCGCCCCCGTCTGCCCCCACCGCCCGCTGCCCCGCTGCCCCCCTCTCGCCCTCCGCTGAGTCATTCTTCCCGTTGCCCCCACCGCCATCGCTCCCCCCACCCGCCGCCGCGCTCCCCCCAAGCGCGAGCCCCATCCCCAGCTGCTGCAGCGCCGCCAGCTCCTTCTCTCCGCGCTCCGCCTGCTCCCTCTCCGCGCTGATTTCCGCCAGCGCGCCCAGCCAGCGCGCCAACGCCTCTTTGCGCTCCGCCCCGCGCGCGAGCATCGCCACCTCCTCGATGCGCCGCACGGCGTGGCGGAAGCTGTTGTGCTGCCGCGCCGACGCGCCGCCCTGCGCGGGGGGAGCGGCGGGAGGTGGGGGGGCGCGAGGAATGGTGAGATAGAGGCGAAGGCACATGCTGAGCACTCAAACGCCATGGAGAGTGAAGGCAGGCCGCGGCGAAGGACGCGGGGGGCGCTCGCACGGTTGCGGTGGCGGCGGCGGCGGCGGCGGCGGCGTGGGCGCGGGGATGACGCACCACGGCGTGCTCGGCGTGCTCGTAGACGAGCTTGGCGCCGTGCTCGACGGCGTCGCCCGCCAGCAGCACGGCGTCATTGGCGCGCTGCACCACCGACGACGCGAACGAGCTCGCGCGCTCGAACCCCGACCCCACCGCCTTGCCGCTCGCATTGGCGGCCTCCGCGCCTATGCTGAGCGCGGAGCGGAACCACGACATGGCGGAGCGGCGGCGGGCTGGGGGCCTCAGGCCCTGCGGTGGGGGGTGGAGAGGCCTAGGGGGAGGGTGAGGGCCTACGGGGTGGGGTAAGGGAGCACGGGAGTTCGAATGGCGGCCGGCGAGAGCGGCGACGAACGTGAGCGGCGGGGCGCAGAGATGAGGTACGCGGAGCGAATGTCCAGTCGGAAACCGTGAGTTCACTAGTAAGTTGCTCGGGAAGACGCGCGATAGCACATGTGAGAGGTGAAAAACTACTTATTTGAGGCCCTGCGGAACGAACTAAGATGCGAGGTGCTTCTGTTGGTTGACATGCGCGCCAGTCCCGCTTGTAAAATGCGCCTCAATTCTCAAGATTGCATCCGTGCACTGGGGTAGGACCACATAGCAGCGAGCCGTGCAGTACAAGGAGGGCGGGGTGGGGTGGGGTGGGGTGAAGGCCGAGGAGGAGCAACGCAGGGTTGGTTGGGCGCGCAGCCTACGGTTTGGCCAACAGAAATCAACTGACTGCATCCTACCCAATAGCATCCGTGGCACACCCCAAAGTTTCTTATAGCGAGGATACCCGTCCAGATGCACACACGACAAATAAATTTCCTGCCACTCTCAAAACGAAATCCTGAGTGAAAGGGAAACGTCATGTAAGTTTTGAGTTGTGAAACAGGGTTGCACTAAATAATGAATAAAGACGCTATGACAAAATGAATTGATGATACAATGAATGCTCGAAATAATATAGCGGGCCAACACTAGGCGGGAACCTCGTGAACACGAGATTAGGTGCAGGTTGGGCACAGGGAGACCAAAGGCGACGCGATATTGCTTCAGTAGCAAGAGACTGGCCGAGCTGTCAAACATAGTAGCTTAGGAGGCTAGGGTTTTGGGAAGAGAAAGTTGGCCAAGAGAAGAAGGTTGCAACTACACTGGGAGTACAAATTATAGGAAAGGGGAGGTGGTGAAGGGAGATAGACCACCTAACGACAAGATAGGGTGATACTACACTACTAGCTAGGTATGCAAATATATAAGAATAACATATTCTGACATCCTCCCTTAATTGGATGCTAGTCTAGCTAGTGTAGGGGCTCATCTCGAAGCACAGACGTCACCGAGCCGATAGCTGGGCCCACCGCCGGGTACGGTGGAATGCCCGCCAGCCCGGTGTGCGCAACGAGGAACGACGTCACCCAAATACGACGGATAGAGAATAGACAAGGAACAGTACATGCAAATCTCTCTCTCTCTCTCGCCACCCCCACATCTCCCCCCCCACGGCAGAAGCCGCGGATTGGAAGGGAGGGGCGGCGTTAGCTGCTGCTTGCGCTGGCGTCCACACTGGCGCTGGTCGCGGGTGTCTGCGCTGGCGCCAGTCGCTGACGCCTGCGCCGGCGCTCGTCTCTGACGTTGGTCGGGGGCGTCTGCGTTGTCGCCAGTCGGTGGCGCCTGTGCCGGCGCTCGTCGCTGGCGTCCGCGTCCGCGCTGGCGCGGGCGGATCGCGGGCGACGGGGGGCCGCTTTGCGACGAAACGGTGCGGAGCGACGAGGGGGGGGGGGAGGGGGGGGGGCGCGTGTCAGAATATATTTGTGTAACTGCCTGTAGCTGTAGTTTAGTGTAGCAATCATGAACTCTTGGTGGTGCACCATTCTTGTTTCTTGCCTATTTGTATTGTTCGCTCCATAGTGAAGCCCCTTCTTCTTGCAACAACTTTCTCAACTCCCCTTGGCCTAGGCTACTAAGCCTAGGCCCTCACTTAAACCTAGCCCCCACTTGTGCGCCTATCTTAGCATGGTATTCAGAGCAGGCACCTTCCTGCTGCCTTCCTTAACGTGCCCACCAACTAGCTTCCACTGCCTGTCGTCCTGTCGCGCGCCTCGGGCGCGCAGGGGCGCGCGGCGGCTCTCTGCCCCACGTCCGCGCGCCGGCTTCCTGCCCGTTGCGCTGCCCTGCAGGCCGCGCGCGGGCCTGCCCTGCATCCGTGACGCTGCCCGTGGACCCCGCGACGCCGCCCCTGGACCCCGCGACGCCACCCCTGGACTCCGCGACGCCGCCCCATGGAGCCCACCCGCGCCCTGCCTCACCTGCGGCTGCCCTCGAGCGGCCGCCCCCCCGTCTGCCCTCGTGCAGCCGCCCCTGCCTCACCCGCGCTTGCCCTCGTGCAGCCGCCCCTGCCTCACCCGCGCCTGCCCTCGTGCAGCCGCCCCTGCCTCACCCGTGCCTGCCCTCGTGCAGCCGCCCCTGCCTCACCCGCGCCTGCCCTCGTGCAGCCACCCCTGCCTCACCCGCGCCTGCCCTCGTGCAGCCGTGGGGGGGATGGTATGGGGGTGGCAGGTGTAGGGGTGATGAGTGTGGGTGCTACCCTTCCCCTCCTCCTCCTCCTCCTTCGTCTCCCACTGCTGCAGCTGCCCCTGAAGGGGGGTGGATGTGGGGGCCGAGGGGAGTGGAGCTAAGGGGGTGTCGTGGGAGTGGAGACAGGGGTGCAGCAAGGGGGTGTGTGAGAAGGGGGTGTGGGAATGTTAGGGGAGGTTGAGCGGAGGTCGCCGTCGTGTCGTCAGCAGCGCCAGTAGTCCGGAGCCCTCGTGCTCTCGGTAGCCCAGCGAGCCTGCTTCGCGAGTCGCCCCGGTTGCTCCTGCCGCTCGTCGTAGCCGCGGAGCCAGATACTCCCGTAGTCCGGTGCCTTCGTGCGCTCGGTATGTGCGCGCCGCTCCTGTTGTCTGTGTGACTGCGGATTCACCTGTCGCCTCCTATCTCCACTCCTCTCACAGTCCCTCCTCCTCCTCACTTCGCCTCTTCTTCTGCTTGGTGTACCCATCCATGAAATGTCGTTGCACAAACTCCTGCTGCAGGCAGTTATGGGGGAGTGTCAGAATATATTTGTGTAACTGCCTGTAGCTGCAGTTTAGTGTAGTAATCATAAACTATTGGTGGTGCACCATTCTTGTTTCTTGCCTATTTGTATTGTTTGCTCCATAGTGGAGCCCCTTCTTCTTGCAACAACTTTCTCGACTCCCCTTAGCCTAGGCTACTAAGCCTAGGCCCTCAGTTAAACCTAGCCCCACTTGTGCGCCTATCTTAACAGCGCGGACGACGGGACGACGAGGAGCGACGGGGGGGGGGGGGGGGCTCGGCGTGACGGGGAAAGCGGGCGCGACGCGACTAGCAGGCGCAGCGTGCGCTAGGGAACGCTACGAGCGTGACGAAAACTAGGGTATGGGCGTGAGCGAGAGGAACGGGATCCCACATGATCCGAACCTATGTGATACCATGACCTGACACGAACATGCACTTCCTAAAGTATGGGTTGTGCGCGAAATAGTAAACCCCAGTAAGGAAAAAAAGTTTTCCTTACACCCCCCCCCCCCCCCCCCCCCCCGCCCCCCAACCCACCCCCCTCTCCTTAAGAAATATGGTCAATATTTGCGACACGCTTAATTGGGGTGATCCCGCAGCAACGAAAGGTGCTTCAAGCATGACGGATCGCACCCATGTGTCGTCCTTGCTGGTACGATCAGTTCAACCGATAAAAAAGTCTACGTCGCGCCCACTTGCGTCGCGTCGTACGAGAAGCCCCAATTTTTTCGATGGGTCAAGCTTCGATTCAAGTATAGGTCGTGCTGTTGGGGCGGCGAATCGGCGGGCGATGTCCGTCATGGCAGCCACAAAAAGCCGGAGAAGGATGACGAGGAACTTATCGTGCACATGCTAGTGGTCGAGCAGCAGGTGTTTCGCCGTGACTGGGGTAAGTATTGTGATAATGCGAAAAGGTCCACAATATCACGATCGAAGATTCGGCGACATAGGCGATCCAAGGTTCTTTGTGTCGAGGAGGATTAGTTGGGTAATAGTTATAGTAATGTCCTAGCGTAGCAAATCCGAGACATTGCAGGTAGTTACATTTGCTTTTCGAATCGCTTTGAAAGCTTTTTCGCTGATTGCATGGAGTTCCGTTGCAAAATGTTGTGAGTGTGGTACTGGGTTTTCAGGAATCGTTGCTATGGGTACTACTGGATCCACTCGTAATCAAGGAAGAACGAGAGTTGTTGGTCGTGCTTGATGGGCATTGAGAGAGAGATTTTGCATGGAGCAGGGTCGGGGCAGTTCGTGCAAATGAGATGTTTCATCGTCTGATTGGTTCGCTCGGTTAATTTGTCGGTTTGTGGATGGTAGGCAAGCCCTATGACACTAGGGTAAAATACCCTGATTACCCTGATTTCAGGGTTCATTCAGCACCCCTGCCCTGAAATTTCAAGATGTCTGTAGTTAAAGCCCTTAGATTTCTAGATGTTTGTTTGATAACACCTTGAGAATTCAGAATGTTCTACACCCGCCTGCCCTGACGCCTATGGGTGTTTTTATCGCTTACCCTGACACAATCTCTGGAAGCGTTAGGGGGGGGGCCTTGTGCACATTCCGTAATTTCCGTAATTCTGCGCCGCAAACACACGTGTCGCCCTCCCACCACTTGCCTTGATGACAAATTTGCCTACGCGAGGCAAACTTACAGTGGTGCAGCAGTCGTGGCTGCACGGTACCCCTCTAACACCCACCATACACACTTCGTTTTGATGTGAATAAAATGCACTGCTCGAACTACAAAAACCAATTCATGGTGACAAAAACGGAACCCTGATGCTTCAGGGTTTAGTTATGTGATGCGCTAAGAAATCAGGATCACCGAGAGGGCTCTGCCCTGAGGACGACATACTTTTTTTAGCCATGTCTTGAGGGCTCAGGGTTCCTAAAAGCGAATAGGCCCTCATGGTAGGCCATTGAGAACTTTAGCCTTGTGACATATTGCGCCCATGTTTCTATCTAGAACTCCAATCTAAATTTCGGGTCGCGGTTGCTAACGATCGCAAATGGGACTTTGTGAAGTCATACAACGGTCGAGATAGACAAGCACGCTGTTTCTTCGACTATGATGGTTGTGCGACAAGGTGCGAAATGTGCCATTTTTGTGAGGCGATCGACAATGACGGACGCTGCGTTGTTGGCGGACCCGCTAG